TTTTTGGCCTGTGGATGTCCAATTGCATTTGTTGAAATGGCTGTGCTTCCTCCATTGAATAGCTTTTGCATCTGCTTCAAAATTCAGTTGAGCATATTTGTGTGGGTCTATTTCTGAGCTTTCCATTCTGTTCCATTTTCTACTCCCCTGCCAATAGCATACAGTGCTTATTACTATGTTATAGTTCTTATTCTTATTTTTCTTATTATTCTTATTTCTTATTATTCTTATTTTTCTAATTAATCTTTTTAAAAGTTGATTTAACTATTTTATTTACTTTGCCTTTTTATAAGTTTTGGAATAATCTTGCCTATATCTACAAAAAATATTGCTGGGATTTTTATAGGAATTGAGCTAAACCTATATATCAACTTGGAAAGAACTGACCATCTTTACTATGTTGAACCTTTTAATTCATATGCAGGGTGTGCTGCTCCATTTATTTATTCTTCAGTATATTTTATCAGCATTGCATAGTTTTCAGCATAAAAATCCTATACATATTCCATTAAACTTACACTTAAGTGTTTTTTTTAAGTGGTTATAAAGGGTATTGTATTTTTAATTTCTGTATCCATGTGTTCATTGTTAATACATAGAAACACAATTGGTTTTTTGTGCATTTATCTTGTATTCTGCAACCTTGCTAAAGTCACTTATTAGCTCTAGAAGCATTTTTGGTTTTACTTTATTTTTAAATTCCTTGGGATTTCCTACATAAGCAATCATATTATCTGCATATAGCGACAACTATATTTCTTCCTTTTTGACATGCATAGTTTTAGATATTTTCTTGCCTTATTGCCCTGGCTAGAAGCTGCAGAGCTGTGCTGAATAAGAGTAGACCATACTTACCTTACTCCCAATCTTAGAGGAGAAGCATTCAGTCTTTCACCATTAAATATACTGTTAGCTTTAGGTTTTTATGTAGATAATCTCTATCAATTGAAGATGTTCCATTGTGTTCCTATCTTTCTGACAGTTTTTTAATTATGAACAAGTGTTGAATTTTGTCAAATGATTTTTCTGCATCAAGTGATATGATCATGTGCTTTTTCTTCTTTGTCCATAAGGTAGATTGCATTGATCTTCTGATATTAACCAGCCTTGCATCCCTGGAATAAACATCACTTAATCTTCCTGTATAATTCTTTTCATACATTGTGAATCCTATATATTAATAGTTTAAGATTTTTGCACCTATATTCATGAAGGATATTGATCTATGGGTGGTTTTCTGTATTGATTTTGTATAATTTGATATCAGAGTACTACTAGCTTCATTAAATTAATTAGGAAGAATTTCTTCTTGTATTTTCTGGGAGAGATTATGTAGAATTGGTGTAAATTCTTCATTAAACATTTTGTAGAATTCTCTGGTGAAGCCATCAGGGCCTGGATATTTCATTTTGGGAGCTTTAAAAATGCAATTTTAATTTCTTTAATAGATATATGGATATTCAAATGACCTATTTCATATTGGATAAGTTGTGGTGTTTTGTGCTTTTCACAGAAGCAGCCCACTTTATCTAAGTTGTAAATTATATACATGTAGAGTTGTTCTTAGTATCACCTTGCCCTTTCATATTTGCAGGGTCTGTAGTGACGGCCCCTGTTTCATTCCTGAAGTTGGTAATTTGTGTCTTCTTTTTCTTTATCTGTTTTGCTAGAGGTGATCTTCTCAAAGAATCAGTTCTTCTCATTTATTGATTTTTCTATTTTTATTTTCATTGATTTCCACTCTTACCTTTATTATTTCCTTCCTTCTGCTTTCTATGGGCTTATTTTGCTCTTCTTTTCCTAAGTTCTTGGGGTGTAAGTTCAGTTTATTAATTTGAGACTTTTCTGCTTTTCTGATATATGCAGTTAGTGCTTTAAAATTTCCTAGTTTGATTCCACTGTGGTCAAAGAAGGCATGCTTTATTTTCAGCTCTTTTAAATGTGTTAAGGTTTGTTTCAAAGCCCAGGGTTTTATCCATCTTGTTATGTGTTCCAAGAGCACTTGTAAAGAATGTATATTGTATTGTTGTTGGATAGAATGTTCTATAAATGTTGATTAGATCCTGTTGATTGATGATGCTGTACAGTTATTCTGTATCCTTGATGATTTTCTGTCTACTTGTTCTATCAATTGTTGAGCATAGGGTATTGAAATCTCCAACTATATGTGGATTTTTAAATTTATCCTTTTAGTTCTATCAGTTTTTGCTTCACATATTTTGCAGCTCTACGGTTTGGTGAATAATCCTTGAGAATTATGGTGTCTTCCTGGTAGACTGATCCTTCTATCACATAATGTCCCTCTCTGTCTCTAGTAATATTCTTTGTTTTAACATTAATATAGCTACTCCTGTTTTACTTTTATTAATGCTTGCATGATATATTTCTTTCTATCCTTTCACTTTCAACCTGTATATATCATATTTGAAATATATTTTTGCAGATAGCATGTTTTTTTAATCCACTCTGCCAGTCTTTTAATTTGTATATTTAGACCAACTTTATTTAATGTTATTATTGATCTGTTAGGGCTTAAGTCTGCTATATTATTTATTTATTTTTGTTTATTCTCACTTTTGTTTGTTGGTTTGTTTTCTTTTCCCTGTTTTCCTGTGGTTTACTTAAATATATTTTTAGATTCCATTTTACTTATCTATCATTTCTTGAGTATATCTTTTTGTATAGCTTTTTCAGTGGTCCTTGATGTTTCAAAGCTCTTTTTTTTGTTTCTTATCTGCTTAGAGAACTTCCTTTAGCCATTATTTTAAGGTAGGTCTTCTGAACACAGATTCAGTTTTCCTTCATCTGAGAATATCTTGACTCCCCTTCATTCTTGAAGGATATTTTCGCTGAGTATACAATTCTGGATTGACAATTTTCTTTTAGCACTTGAAAAACATTGTGCCAGTTTGTTCTTCAATGTTTATGATGAGAAATACAATGCGATTTGTACTGCCTTTCCCCTATTGTTTTGTCTTTAGTTTTCAGACATTTAATTATGATACATCTTGGTATGAATTTCTTCAGCTTTATCTTATTGGAGTCTCTTAGCTTCTTGAATTTGTAGGCTATGTCTCTTGTCAAATTTGAGAAGTTGTTGGTCATTATTTCTTTGAGTAATTTTGTAGTCTAACCCTCTTTCTCCTTTCCTTCTGGAACTCCAATGACAGGAATGTTAGGTCTTTTGTTATAGTCCTGCAACTCCCTGAGTCTCTGTTTAGCTTTTTGTTTTGTTTTGTTTTTCAATCTATTTTCTTTCTGTTGTTTCCATTGGATTATTTATATTTTTTCTATTTTCTAGTTTATTGGTTCTGTCATTTGATCTCTCCATTCTGCTGTTGATTTCCATATTGTTTTTTCTAAATTTTCCACTTGATTTTTTCCTGTAATATTCTATTTTTTGGTGAGTGTCTCTGTTTTTACATTTGTTTCAAGTATGTTCGAAATTGCTCATTGAAGTATTTTTATCATGACTACTTTAAAATCTTTGTCTTATACTTCTAACCTCTCTGTCATCTCAGTGTTGGCACCCATAGTGGGTTGAATGGTGGTCCCCACAAAAAAAGATATAAGTACATACTAATCCCTGGAAACTGTGACTGTTACCTTATTTGGTAAAAGGTCTTTGCAGATGTAATTAAGAATCTTGAGTTGAGGGAATCATCCTGAAATATCTGAGCAGGACTTAAATCTAATGATAGGTGTCCTTATAGGAAAAATACAGAAGAGGAAAGACTATAGGTATGATTTTTGTTATACTGAGTTTGACTGACCTGTGTGTGGGATGTACAAGTAGGGCTCATTGGGAAGGCAGTTGGATGTACTTGTCTGGAGCTTGGGAGACAGAGCTGCTTCCTACGGTCCTGGAATGGTAAAGTTTGTCCAGGGAAAATGAAAAGTGAGAGTTCAGGTCCATTAGTAGAGCCCTGAGGAACACAAGCATTGAAGGACCAGAAGTAGAAGAAAAGCCAGCAAAGCAGATGGAGAAGCAGTGGGCAAAGAGGTAAGAGGCAAACAAGAAAACATGCACAAATGAGTGCAAAGCAAAGCTCAGAGAAGCTTCAAAATGTAATTGAACCAAATAGATATGAGGGACCCAAGAGGTGACTTTTGCACAGGGAATTTAGTGACAACACAAAAAGGAAGATAAGACAAAAAAGTAATAATAATAATACAACATGAAAACAATCAGATTCAAATCTTCATGCATGCTCTGGTTTTTGTTTTGTTTTAGATCATTAAATGACATGAGACATACTCTTCCTTAATGAAATGATTCTCCAACTCAAAGACTATGGTTTACATTTTTATTTTGGTTTCCTTCTAGGACATTTTTCTCTCTGAATTTTCATCTCAAGATTGGTTCTTCATAAGCACCACAGACCAGTATTATCACAATAGTTGTCATAGCAGCTGACATGTATAAGCACTTACTACAGATCTTGCTTGTGCTCTTTAAATAATAATATAACTTAGTCCTACCAATAACTTTATGACATAGGTATTGTCATGCCTGTGATGAGGAGTCTAAGGTACAGAGAGGTAACTCATACAGGATCACGTAGGTGTAAGTGACTTTTTATCAGCACCAACCAGGCCCCCATATATATAAATCTCTGGCAGCTTTTCCACAAGAAAGGAGGGAAGCTAGTCTGGAGAGATGGCAGCCAAGTGTCTCAGACATGTGCAGACAGTGGCACCTCCACTAAAGACTCTCTAAGCTGCTAAATGAGCTATTTCAGTTTCTCCAGGTGGAGGAGTTCCTGGGATGTCAGGTTATTCTTCAGGCAAATGATGACTCTGTGGTGCCAAAGTGATCACTCCAAGTCCTTTTATGACATGATCTGACATGACAGGGAGCTGTGGCCATGCTCAGAACTAAGGAGGGAATGCTCAAGGTCATTAAACAAAACCTGCTACTTAAATGAAGGGTTTACAGTCGGTCTCACCTCCTTCTCCAAAACTGGGCTAGTTCCTGAGGTGTAACTTCAAACTCTCACCTTAGCTGATTAAATCATCGGTCCCATCCAGGATGTGGAAATGTACACAGGCGCAGACTAATGGCCTGTCAGAGGAAGTCAAAGAAAATGTGTGCTGTAAGGTAATTTGCATGGTTCTGAGAGGATTGCCATTCAATACTCTACTTATTTATTAATTCAATGAAATATTTTTGAACACCAGCCATATGTTGGGCACTGGAAAGATTCAGAGAGGAACAGGATACAGTTCCTGCCTTTGGAGTGCTGGCACTGGAGATGTTTATTAAACGCTGAGGCCACTGCAACGAATGAGCTGAGCACAGGCTACTTGGGAGCACCGAGGAGCCACATCTAACCCAGTCAGTGGGGTCCTGGGGTAGAGTTCTGGGAGGAGGAAGACCCCTGAGTCAAGTTTTAAAAGCCTTAAGCAATGAGTGAAGTCATCATTTTTAGGAGGAAGTGAGGGACAATCCAGGCAGTTAGAGCAAAGGTTTGGAGGTGAAAAACAGTATGTGCTATCTGGGAAGGACAAGCTCTTCAACGTACAAAGAAAAAGGCAACATGGTGGTAAGAGATGAGGCCAAAGAAGCAGAAGAGAGTTCCACATGACCCACTGAAGAGGCTGGACATCTCCACAGAGAAAGAAGATCTGTATAGGTCTTTTAAGTGATGGGGTGAAGACTAGGTTTTAGATGGCTCAGTAAAGCCCATGAGTATGGGAAATGTTTCCAAATGGACACTAACAATGTGTGGAGCATGTTCCTAGGTTTGTAGCTTATTGTAAGAACTGGTAAGAGTACCTGGAAAACTGCTGTATGTATGTCCTCTCCTCTTGGAGGAAAGGGTTACACTTTAAGTTTCCCTTATCTCAGATGAAGCCTGAGAGCCTGCTGAAAGATGCTGAACAAGAAATAGCATGATCATATCTGGGTTTTAAAGTAATCACAGAGGCCCTAGGGCAGTCTCCATGAGAGCAGAGACCAAGTTTGCTATGCTCATCTCTTGGACCACATTCCCAGCAGTGCCTGGATGTTAGTAAACACTCCATGATTGTGTTATGAATAAATGAATGGATGAATCAATGAATAGTAAGGCTGGAGGTAAGAAGGATGAAAGTGGCTGCAATAATAAGGGTTTGAGCTCAAATAGCAGCAGAAGTGGAAAAGACAATCAACAGTAGTTGAGGACTGACATGGATGTCATTTGGGCATGAGGAAAGAGTAAAGGATAAATCTTAGATTTATGGTTTTGGCAACTGAGAAGGTGCTGTTATCATTCACCAAAATAAAGAATGTAGGAGGAGAAGGTTATGGAGTAGAAGGTCAAATGAATTCAGTTCCAGGTGTGATAATGTTGAGCTATTTATGGCGTCCCCATGGAGGTGTCCGGGGAATCGGCATTGCTCCTCTGGAACCCAAGGGAGACAGCTGCTTATGCAGACCTGGTGCTACTGGCCTAATGGTTGTAGTTGAAACCACGGGTGTGTTATGATGCAAAAAAGATTTCAAATAGGGGAAAGAGAGCAGGACAGAGGGTAGAAGGATAGACTCATAAGGAACTACAGCACTTAAGGGCTAGAGAGAGGAAGTGAAACTTTCAAAGGAAACTGGGAAAGATTAATTCAGAAAGAGGGGTGGAAATCAGGAGGCAGAAATGTCCATGAAACCAAAGGCAGATACAGATGCAGGAAAGAAAAAGTGGTGTCAAATATTCCAGCAAGGTCTGGTAAAATGAGAACAGAAACTGCCATTGAGTTGGTAATTAGTAACTTTTTTCAGGTTCCTTTGAGTGGTGGGCAGGCGGGCAAAGCCAGGTGATTGGAAGAAAGTGAGGAAATAGCGACAATGAAGCTAGACAGTTCTTTTAAGAAAGGTAGAAGAGAAATGCAGGCAATCAAAGGAATATATATTATATAAATTCAACTGAAAAGGTAAAATAGTTTAGCAATAAAGCGCAATGTGTGGGAATCTCACTTAATTTTAGATTCAACACATTCACATTTATAAAGTACCATCTTTATGCTCAGAAATACACTGGAACTTTCACTTCCTTAATTTTTTATTATGTAAAGCTCCTAGCTTTACATAATAGTGGGTGAAAAAAGTTGAGGAATATTCTTTTTCCTGTCAGTGGAGTAAAAGTAGTCTGGATTTTTTTAATAGCCTAAACTCAAAATAATATAATTTTCAGAAAGCATTTATGCATTGAGGTCTTTTATTTTTATTTTTACCTTGTTTCTAATATAATTATCCATTGGTTCAATACATTCAGTAACATTTTATTGATAAATATACTTTGCCTATTTCTTTTCACTACATTTTTTGTGTGGATTTGCAACATCATTTGGGAAACATTTCAAAATATGGCACACTACTTATTTCTGTCTGGGGCTAGGCATGGCTTTATCCCACTCCAGGCATTTCGTAAATAACCAGCTCAGCAAGAACCAAAAGTAGCTCTAGAAACAGACGTAGATGACGCACAGATCTTCCTGGTCCCTTTTTGTCTTCGTTGGTTCATGGGTATGTACCATTTTATTTTCCAGGCTGGCTCAAAGTGAATCATAATTGCTGTAAACCAAATTCATCTTTGCTTACCCATCACACAGGGCAGTGCTGCCCAATTATAGACTTTCAAATAAAAAAGTTAAAATCCCAAAATTAATGTTACCTCTTCCACACCCCTTCACTCTTCAGTTTGGTCTCTTTTCAAATACTGCCAACTGAACTTTCATGGAATTTTTCTACTATTTCCCTTCATCTCTGTTCTTTGGGTTGAAGCTCTGATCATACTAACTTGGATGAGTACAACCTCCCACCACCCTGATTCTAGTTATTTTTCAAGTTTTTTCTGATGTTATCTTTGCAGTTATTCAAAAGCAATGGGTAGCTCACTTGGACCATCAGGGGATCCTTCTCCCGATCGTTGGAAGGGCACGGAAGCCCCTGCCATCAACAGCTCCTTCTCACTGTCCCCTTTTCACTTCTCGGCCACCACAGACGCCTTCTGTGTTATTTCATGGAAACCAGCACACTAAAAGTAACCTTTAAAGGAAAACAGCTTTGTTTTTGTTTTCAGAATTTTCCAATATGGGAATGCAATAACTTTTATTCCGGCCAAGAGGACACGAACAACCTTTATCCCAACATTGCCTTTAAGCTGTCCCTTCTCAAATGAAAGCCAGCCGTGTGTACACTGTAAAAGGCCATGAGTCCACAGACTCACTTGTCTATTTCAACTCCACGGGAAAATTAATTTTTCACTGGCTCTTTTGTTTCACTTCAACTAGCTCCTACACTGCTACCATTTTCTGCCCTCCTCAAAACAAGCTCTATTATTTGATTGCCATGTAGTAAAGGGACAGTAAAGAACATTTATAATAACTCCCAAATGATCAAATATGGTAATTCCCAGTGGTCCAGTAGAAATAAAATGTGTGCCTCCTGAACCTTGTTTTTATTAAAAACCTCCACTGAAATATTGAAGTAACTGCAAAGTCGACAGTAGAGACTAGAAATGGATCAGCCGCTTTTTAAAGGTCAGTAAGTCTCTTTCTCTCCCACATCTCAAAAACTCCCATTGAGAAGGACTGTAAAATCCAATGGATGTTCTGAGACACACACAAAGGGCCACTTGCCTTGAGAATAGGAGACAAGCACATGCCACCTGCCACATGAAAAGCTTCTATGAAAATTCCATAGCTGCCCATCTCTCTTATTTTCCTCCCTTCAAGTAGGAAGTTCACTTTTATAAGAAATGGCAAATCATTTTTTCTTGACGAAGATACTACTTAGTGTGGAGATGAGGTTGGGATGGGACTTCAAGCAGAAAATAATTTGAAGCAGAAAATAATTTGAGGCCACATTGCTAATGATGGATGGTTAGTGAAGGGTAGAGTTAGGCTAGTGGAGAAGATATGGGTGGGGGAGCAGCAAAGGACCCTAAAGGTCCTCCTCTGACACCTCTCTGTGATCCTCACTGAGCAGGTCAGGTAGGCTCATTTCGCTACTTCCCCACCTGTGAAAGAGCGTTCACAATAACTCTCCTTCATACCTCATAAGGATGTAAGATAAAAAGTATTTGTTGAAGTGATTTTTAATGGAAAGTGATATCTACAATAAGGTGAAAGAAATCATCTTTATATATGCTCTCTACCAGCTTTATAAATTCACTATAATCCAGGGTGGTTTCTGGGCTTCTCTTAGGAATTTTTCTATGGGTCGGCAGAAAAATTACTGACTTATCTCCTATAAAAATAAAGGATCAAAGGATTATGGGTACAAAAAGACTTTTGTACATCTTTCTGCCTCCCTATGAGCCCACCATTCAGATGGACAGGAAGCTACTTTTCTTTTTCTGAAACTCTCCTGGTTTTTATTATGTTGAATCCAAACTCATCAAGATGACTGATATATTTTGTTGTATAAAGAACACTTGGTTACTCCTTTCCGTTCAAAAGTGTATCATTAGAGAGGCTGACCTCTTCCCCTGTAAGACCTCCCCCTCACACCTCCCTCCCACTCAGATACAGAAATTATGATATATGAAGTGGGGGTGGGGGTGGG